AGTCCGATAAAAGGGGGAAGAGCGCACGAAAGCAGTTCCGCATCGTTCGTGGCTCGCGCAAGGGTGGGAAGAAACGGCCGACGATATATTTCCCTTGTGGAGACCGCGCGATAAATAGACAATTTTATCGCGAAGCTACCGTAAAGTGCGCCGATGTTATACCGCGACTTTGAAATCCAACTCGCCGAGCCGGGCGATTCCACGTCGATAAAGCGCGGTAACGTGCGAAATATCGAAATTCGCGATGTTAGGAATTCGTTGCACGCGTCCTGTTTCGCTTCTTTTCAACGTAACAATGATACTCCATGTGAAATACAACGCGAGCGTTGCCTCGCGGTCCGTGCAAATAAATTATGCACGCGATGACTGTGTATTATCCTAGAGAAGCGTGACCGGGCGGGAAATTTCAGATATTGGTGGGAGAGCTCAAAGGGTCGAGCAACTCGATAATCCCCGCGCTTTGAATTTGAAAGGGACCATTTAAATTGTAAAAATCTGACCCAGATTCCGCGGAGCGTGCGAGATACTTTATAGGCTCCTCCATCCCGCGGCCTTCCATCAGTCGCTTGGATTAAAATTCATCGGTGCCCTTGCTCGCTGTGCGAGATAACGTATTTAAAATAAGCCGCACTATCGCCGTAATAAAGATCAACATGAGAACTAACTAAATCGCTTACGGCGAACGTAATCAAATCGCGCCGTCCGATAATCAGCTTCTCTGCCGTTTCACGAGAAGCCGCTGATAGTGGCGTGATTCGCGCGAATCGATTTAAGACTTCGCGCGCGCACACGAATATGCGAAGAAACATATACATATTTATATATCGTCCCTGATTTCCCGCCAGCTCCTTCCTACATCAGCCGAATGTTCCTCATATAGAGTTCAAAAGTCTTTTCTCATAAACAGTAAACAAGTGTTTTGTACGAACAAAGCAGTGTTTGAATTAAAGTATCTCAACAAACTAAATGTGTATTTTATGGAGAAAGACTTCTGAATCGACTTAATACACTCTCTTTCTTGTAAGAAAACAAAGAAATAATTCATCGAGCGTTAGTTGTTAGCTTTTTCAAGAATATTCTCACAAAGGACTCTTCTAAAACCAAAAGGAAAATATTGCAACATCTAAGAACTCCAGTTGCAGAGTACTATTTCCTGCAATCCCATATTCTAAGCGAAAATTTTTACCGTAAGAATATTTTTCTTCTAATGAACAAGGGTGATATATCTTGCTTAAAATATTTTTTGGTTTTCGAAGAAAAACCTTTTTGAAGTGTACATAAGAGGCTTTCTCTGAGGATAAGATTGAATTTTTTCGGATGATAAATTCATCTCTGAAGAAGTTAAACGCGAGATCGCTAAAGTCGAGACACAGCAACTCTATCACGTTTCGTGAATCTTAAATCCCGCAAACGCTCTCCGCGCAACTATCAGCTGGAAACTGTTGGCGCGACGTGCTTATTGTCACCCGAATAGCAGCTTTCTCTAAAAGGGGCGAGGGATGGCTTCGAGGTGAGATATAGGATCCAGGAAGCGCGGTCGACAGGGATTTGGTCGGGGAAAAACGTAGGCAAGGTTGAAGTGGCACCCACTTGTCGCTGAGATATGCATGAGCTGGCTGAAGTTACGCTACAACTACGCTGCTTACATAATCCAAACGCCCAACGTAGTAGTAGCGCGCGCGCACACGGACAAAAGGTCATCCTCGGCGGAACAACCGCATCCGGACGAACCCCCAGCCGCGACGTCGAACAGAGGGACGGCCCTCGACGATATCGCGAAGATAGAAAGCCAGTTTAATCTTTCACGCGTGATATTTTATTGAGGACCGCCGTTCCTCATGATGGTGGCGAGCCTGTCGCGTTGTCGTGTTTGAAACATGAGAAGACCACGATAGTCGATCATCGCGCAGTCGCTTCTCTTTCTGGAGATGCGACAGCGTAGGAATCTTATTGCTAGTCGGATCGGATCGGGTGTCTCGCGTTCGTGAATGTCGAAAAGGGGAACCTGTAAAAACACAAGGGAGGATCCGAGGGTGTCCGGATTTAGAATCGTAGTCGAGGGCTGATAGGTTCTCGTGCGCTTCCCCGTGCTCGAGAATCAATTTCCCGCGGCGAGGCGTGAAATTATTTCACTGCCGTTTCGATCCGTCCCAATCAGGCGGCTGCTCCGTCCTTCACCCCTGCTGCGCGCTAAGCTATGCGGGAATCGCGAAACTCGGCAACTTATCATTGGACGTATAGAACGAAATAAGCTCTCTCGCTGTTTCCGCTCGAGGGAGCGATGGGACCACGCAAAGAGACGAACAGCGATTCCATCTTCGACCTCTTTCTCGGCCGAGCGAGAGTCGGTTCTTATCAAACCGAAACATGTCGCGCGAGATCGCGAGGACATATTGTTGATGCAGATTAACAGAGATTTATGACGGCCATAAAGCGGCCGCGCGGTCAACGCACACTTCCGCGAGGTTAACCGCCGACCGACCTGCGAAGCTACGACGCGTCGACGGTACACACGATGAGTCCTCGAGGAGTAAGTTGGCCGAATGATGGCGAACTTTCGGCTTTTCTCCGACGGTACCCCGAGGATTTCCGACGGTTCGTTAAGTTCATATGTACACACCGTAAACACGCCACCGCTCTCGACTTATACGCTCCGCCATAGTGCGTGCTTGTTTCCTCTTTGTTGTCTCCTTACCTCTTTTCCTTCCTTCTTTTCTTCCTTCCTTCCTTCCTTCCTTCCTTCCTTCCTTCCTTCCTTCCTTCCTTCCTTCCTTCCTTTCTTTCTTCCTTCCTTTCTTTCTTTCTTCCATCTTTCCGCCCTTCCGACGAAATATCGCGGCGTCACGCGCTTTCCTACCAAGCAAATATTTATCATCGCGCGCAACGGGTTGTGTCGCACGGGGCGAGGTTCAGCGTTACGATAACTAAACTTCCGGTCAACAACAACTATTGATCCTCAATTATGCTCCGATACGCGGCGTAGTGATACGCTCGCGATATCATCGGACAACGCTGCTGTATCTCGCGTTAATGAGTCGGAACGCGCGCTCTTTCGGCCGAGGGTGTGCTTTCTATCGTTGGAATTTGTAATAAAATGATAATGGCTGTGTGACGTGGCGAAGAGGTCGCGCGGATAATCGATGCACGTAGAGAGGGCGCGAGGCGCGCCTTAATGTTTGTGAATTATTTATACTCTCGAAATTTCTTGGAGTGGAATCTCGCTCGGAACGAGTGAAGATTTACTCGAAACGGCAGTGAAAATACTGCCACTCACAATCATAAGAATGAATATCTAACTAGCACTTGAAGTGGGTTCTTAATCCATACGAATGAATATTAACGTAAAGTTGTTGAAGTGACAGATTACTGCTTTGACAGATTGTTTTCACTTCTTTGAGAGTAATCAATAAACAATAAATCAACAATGCATACATGAAAAATAAAGTTAGCTGTGGCAGTAGCAATCTGTGTATAATAACGAAAAATTAGCTGTCTATATATATATATATATATATATATATATATATATATATATACATATATAATACAAATAAATTATATTCTTGTCTGCACCGCAATTAAAGATAATTTTACATAGTTAAATAATAGAAAGAAAGAAAAAGGAAAGAAATTAGCTACGAAATTAATGTAGTACCAGCAATATCAAAAACTGTAAATATCACATCCAATTTTTAGTTACAGTAACAAATACATTTTCAGTAAACCATGATTAGCTGCGGCAGCGAAATCTTTCCTTTTCGTATACGATTAAAAAATTCCAATAACCTAATTGCATTGCATGTTAAATCATAATTAAGTCAAGGTATAATCATGTGCCAGCATAATAGTCTTAATTATCAGACTCACCTTCAATTTTAAGCAGAAATATTCATTTGACGATTTAGAGTGGAAAATTCACGCTATAAGTAAAAAGATACTCCGAATCCGACTGATTCATCTCACTTTACCTTCCAAATAGAATTTCACTTGGAAAAAATGTAAAAAGCACGAACAGCTGACGAAGTTTATCGTCAGATGATACAATTCGACGTGTTTCATTAATATACGGAAAAAAATTTGATTAGATCGACCAAATGTCTGGTGAAATATGAATGAACCAAAAATTCCAGACAAGGTTACCAGAATTCTGTTCAGATTAATCAGAAATTTTGTTAACTTGAACAGAATTCTAATAACTTCGATCGGAATTTTTCGTTCATATTTCACCGGAAATTTGGTTAATTCAACCAAACTTGTTTTTTCCGTGTAAAAAATAACACGAGCATTAATTTCTGCACTTTGCGAGCGTTCCTCTAATTTAACGGCGAAAACCCTTTGAGGATTCTCCATCCCGTATGGATCTTATAAGACGTAGATACGGGAAATTACATAATGCGATGTATAATAAGGCTCCTGTAGCATCGCGTAACTGTAAATTACAATCATTACCGCTACCGCGCGCGGCACGAATTATGGAGATATACCATTCGTTACGTATTATACTTATTACTCGCGCCGCTACGCTCGCGCACACAGTTGCGCGGAATTGCAGCGTGCCATTAACGAAAGCGATTCATATACTTAAGCCCTTCCCGATAAATATCTATCAGCTTGTTATCAACGCGATATTCTCGCGTTGTTGTTTATTAAAGCGCCCCTTTGTTGTTATTAAAGACGAAATTTTATCAAACTGTAGACACACAGCGAATTACGTTTACACATATGCAATTGTAAGCGCGGTATAATTGTATCACGCGGTTCCATTCCGTCACGAAATACACGAGACATGGCGGGCACATCACGGCCAGCTAGCTACGTGCCATCGAGCGATAAATTATGTAATAAATATTTTGCAATCTGCCACGCGGCGATATTTAGTGCAGGCGAAATGTCAGGCGGTGCGCGTTGCCGCGAAGTTTGACATTTCGCAGTGGTCCGTGTATATCGAGTCGGCCTGCTCATCGAGACTGTCACGCGAGAAATAACGTTTCTGCTTTCAGATCGGGCGGTTGATGCCTGATGGCGCGGGCTGGAACGCAACGCTGGAGAAATCCTGCTCCAGAGTAAGTGGACTCTTGATTCACGGTGGTGGGAATAAGCATGCGGCGCCGCTATATTATGCATAGCCAGCAGCGGCTGGCACGGTACCGTAATGGTTCTCAAACCGAGACCTCGGAACGAACACGTGGGCGATAAATAAGAGAACTGAAAGAGAAGAGGGACAAAGAGAAAAAACGAAGGACGTAGTTTACGGCGTTATAAACGCCTGGTCGTGCGCGAAAAGCGCCGTTGTATCTCGAGTTTATCGTCGTTCTCTTTTATCAAGCTCACGTTTTCATTCCGATTCTTCTACGACGGTATCAAGGACCGCGATAAATCCTTCGTGGTCGTGATTACGAAAGAGATGTTGTCGAACAAGAACGCACCCCGTTCACTGCTTGTGAACGAATACTCGCGTTGGTTTCCGCGCGTTTCGCGACACGATCCCGAGACTTCGCAACATCCGCGCGAGCTACTTGCCGCCGCGAGTTCGGCCAAAATGGGAAAGCGCCGGCTGGAACTTCTCGCGGGACCACCGTGACGGATTTAAATAAAGCCGAGGAGGAAGTGCTCCAAGTTTCCTTCTGGAGGCTCACTCCACTCCTCGAAACCGATGTCCGCAACTCCTTCCCTCGTCTGCCCTCTTTTTTCCTCGAGGCTGAAAGCCACCGCGAGCCGCGCGTAGATGGACTTGGCGAGCATAAAATGGAATGTAACTTTTCGGTAGACTCTTTAGAGATAGCGAGTTTATCGACCGAACTCGGTAATTCCGCGTTAGAAATGTCGTGAAATGAAAGTAAAATCGCAGCGGAAGAAATGACAATAATGGACGAGAGAAACGATGAATCCCGAATCGCATTAGATAAGAGTGTTCGATAACGAATTTTAAGGCTTAATCTTTGAGAACGTAGATTACATGTATGGGAAAAAGTATCAAATTCAACAGAAAGAATAAAGAAAGAAAAATAAATAGAATTAAGAGACAACGCGGAAAGGAAAAGAGAGAGTACAGATTTGAAAAACAATTATCGGCTAAATTCTCGAGGAAAAGATCCACCTGCGAACGAACGTATCGGCGTGCTTTCGCGGTATACTTTTCACTTCGTTCACATTCTCCGTTAAAACGAGGGAAACGTGGATGAAAGAAGAATGATATCGCTTCGTTCGTTGCGCGAAACGGTTAGAGTAGCGTGGCTGTACACACCGCGAGGTCGAGGGATTCAGTTGATACGCGTAACCGCGAGCTCTCTGCAGCCTCTATATGCCTCTTCGCGAAGGAGGATCAGAATATTGCCTCGGTTCGTGCCGAAGGATCCGATGTACACCGTATAACCTTCCGACCCGCAGCGCCGGCCGCCGCTTTCGCCTCCTCCGCCGCCGCCATCGTCCTCCGAGCCGCACGCTCGATAGGGCCGGACCGGAACCACGGGTATCTTTGATCAAAGACGCTCTCGATTGGATGCTCTGTCGTGATTCCGATGATGAATAATTGAGAAGCGAGCTCCGAGAAATTTCGCCGTGCAAGCGCTATCCCATCAAGATCGCCGCGGAGTATCGAGCGTTAAATTTCTTACGGTTTTGATGTCGAGCCCGCGCCACCATCTTCTCGTTTTCCTCTCTCTCTTTCTCCCGGTTGTCCAGCCTTTGTTCTCGTGCCTTTAATTCGTTGCAGCGAGGAGGCGTTTTGAGTGGACATTTGAAATTCTGTCTGTACCAGCAAATCATTTTTTCGATCGAAAGATTTATTCTCCTCTTTCAACTCTATACACGGCTTTTTACACGGCTTAATAAAATGGAGAAGAGACGAGTGAATTTCTCTTCTTTTATTTTCCTTGACCGACATTTCACATAATATTGAATCTCGCTGGAAACATGACAGTCTCTCTCTCCTCTCTCTTCCCCTCTCTCTCTCGCGTTATAACAACTATTCGGCACATGCAATTATATTGCACTAATCATATTCGATGGGAACATGTCGGGTAATTTACAGTGGTTTATTTTAACTGTATGCAAAGAGAATTAAACGACTGATTTGTCAGTGTGCGATGATCGACTCGTAGAAGCGGTCGTGCAAACGTAATCTCCTAACATTGCGATGTATACTATGCGCGATACGATGATAATTCCGCCCAAAATTATTATAGTTTCCACGAAAATTCGATAGTTATTACGTATTAGTAGGAAAATTAATTGACTTTGATGCGCGGGAGATAATTTCGCAGGCGGAATCCCCGCTTTAATCGCGGATTAGCGACCTCACGTTTTCCCCGAGCGAAACCGCCGCCATCGACATCGCTTCCCTCTTCGCATATAAATCGTACTTCTCTCGCTTTTGTGTATTCCGGGACTCGAGACACTGAATAGCAGAAACATGCCGGAATAAAAATCGTATCGTAGCCTCTTACCGACTCTCCCTCTCTGTCGGCTTTACCGCCGTCGCTTCCGGCTTGGGATGTAAATCGCTTGAGGCTTAAAAGGGTTAGAGCCGGCGGGCGAAAAGGGTTGATTTTGAACATGCGCCACCTTTTTTCCTCGCAGCGTTGTCGCGACGCACGTAAAAAGGTTCGTGTCGTTAGACTCGTTATGCGCTTCCACGCGCCTGATGGTAGGGAGGTGCAAACCGTCGTAAGAGAGATGCAAACAGACGCAAGAGAGCAAACAAGATTTTGGAAAATAAAATCATGTTGAGACCTCTCCTGAATTTCTTTTAACATTATACGAGCGGAATTCGCCCCGCATTACCTGAGTCAAAATTTAGGTTCTACGCAAATCCTGCGAATGCCATCAAGCTCGAAACACCAATAGAGAATTTCGTAGAATACGTTACTATTCAGGCTATTAGCTAAAAAAGGATACATGTAAACATTATTTAACATTTGTTTATCTCAATAATCCACATGCATTTAATCTTGATTTTAATGAGCAGTGCATAAAATATCTAATTTATTTAATTGCTGTGCAAAGAGATAGGAAGAGAGAATGTGATATAAAAGCGAATATTATATATAAATATATAATCTAAAGTGTAGAGAGAGATTAAATTAATTAATTTACTTTAAGGTTAAAATAAATAAATAGAAAAAGGAAACAACTAAGTTACTTCTTTCATAATTTCATTATTATTTTTTTATTGCTATTAGAAACTTCGATACAATGTAAAAATTCGAAAAAAGAAAGGAGTTATAAGTCTTGTTGCCGCTATATTTCGTCGTGGAGTCAGCTCCTGGTTATTATCGTGATTACGCGCTCAATAGTGCCACACAAAGATATAAATCGATCGGAAACGCAGCGCGTAAACTAATTATCGAAGCAATATCTTCCTCACTTGTATCGCGTGATAATTTAACCTTTTAAATATCATCCTTTAAATATCTGGTACCAATAGGATCTGGACCATTTAGGATGGGGTCAATTGAAACTTTATAAATATGCTATTTAAAGTGTTTTTGACAATATTTTATTTAAAAAAAGTTACTAGAATGTTCCATGAATTATGCACCTTAGAGTTAATAGTCTAATAACTTTTTTAATCGCTTAGAAGATCCGGGATCTTTTGAAATCGTTGATGTGATTTTTCTTAGTCACTGAATATGTTTCTTGTTTGCTGGTGGTCGACAACAATGGCCGCGACTGGCTGGAGATGACTTTCTCTTGATTGTTTTGATTGTTGTTGCGCGTCGCGTACGTTTCCGTGACCGAGTTATTACGGCTCGAGCCGCCGAACGGCGCACACACCGCGACGCGGAGTACGTGTATCGGTGAATTGTTTACCGTCCCCCCGTTCTTCCCCGCGTTGTTTGACCGAAACATTTCGTCGACTACTGAAATATTTAAACGGGCTCTTGTCAACATCGCGTCAGTTCACACGCGTTTCTCCGATCGAGTCGTGCGCGAGTGTTAGTGCCGGTGAGTGTCCCATGCGACGAGCAGTCAGGAACACAGGATGCCAGGATCGGAATGCCAGGGCGATGGACGCAGATTGTTGGGATGCGGCCAGCGATATACATGATATATTTCCAGGTGTGTTAATTTATTTCTTTCGTACGGCATATTTCCGATTTTAACGGGCATTTGGCAAACTTGCCCAGAATAAGAAATATTGCAGCCGAGTCGAAATGTAGAACGTACTTTATGACAATTCCTATTCCATCGTTATTTGACAAATAATCGTAGCTTCACGAATTCTCCGAATATTCGTCAGCTTATATTTATTTCATACAATAAAAAAATATCGAACCATAAACTCGCCAAATAGTGGTCCGCGAAGACAAATCTCTATTTTTTTTCAGTTCTTAATCAGAGATCGTAAGATATTTTTAACTATGAATACCGACCTAAGACTCACAAATACTACGAACGTTGGTTTCTTTCAGTTCTTTAGTTTTGTTATTGCACCAAATTCAAATTTAAGTCTCTTATTGACGTGTTCAAACAGCGATGTTATATTTATCTACAACTCCAATACTATCCGATCATTAATTACTTGATATTTGTTTATTGCGCGTATTCGTTCTGCAATTAAGTTACATACTAATTGCTCATTAAAACTAGAAATAAAGATTAAACGCGAGGTAGAACATTGAGATAACATCGGTTATTAAATAAATACAAATATCCATGATATAGAACCTAGAAACATTGTTGAGGTTGCCAATAGATCTTTTAAGGGGTTACAAGATCTTGAAAGAAGTAAATAGTAAATAACCGTGTGCATAGGGTAGGTTATCAATGAGGTAGAACAATAGCCGATATTGTGCTATATCTCGAGATTCTCCGTTAAATCTTTTGAGCCGTACTGGGATTTGCAGGATTAATGCGGGATCAAAATTTCGACTCGTGTACGTATCGCGGCGAACTTAATTTCGCATCTCCCCTCGGCGCTGCTCGTGATATCACGAAATTGCTGATTTAAATCCTCGTGGAGTACGTTCGATCATACGGAAGCCGACCGTGGCTTAATTAAAACGTCAAAGTACCAATGGTTTTCCAATTATACGTGATCAGGACTGAAGGACCAACCGTG